GCAAAAATAAAGCTGATCCTAAGCCTAAGCCTAAGACCACAAGTATCGGGAACTGAAGCCAATCCAAAATCATCATCACCACCTATACACAATCGCCTTACCATTTCACACTCCACACTTACCTGGCAACCCAACCCGGTAGAGACTGTTTACCTGGTTGAAATCTCTTTATCATGCACTCACCTACACCTTCAAATAAAATTCCATCGCTCATTTGAAAAAAATTCATGTTCACCACGAAATTCGTACTCTATCGATCAAGAACAACCAAAGCAATATCTACCTCATTAAGTCTGTCCTGTACACTCGTCGTCATAAACTGGATGGCACGATCCCATGCACGTCTATCCGGCACCAGTCGATCCTCCATTGCGTTCAATTGGATTACACGCTGAAAATCTTGGTTTTTATTCATTTATATAATTATATAATTTATAATTATAATTTTTTACTATATAATTCATAATTTTATTATATAAATTATATAATTTATTCATAATTATATAATTTCAATATTTATATAATTTCTTCAAAACGTTTGTAAATCATTTTTATAAAAAGAACTGCCATAAGGCTCTTATGTGAATTTGGTGTGTTCAACTGAATCAAGTCAGTTTTAAAAAAGCAATTGATCTACTAGCAGCAGCACAGATCAGCCTTAACCGTTATTCATTTAAATATGATGCGCGCAACGATATGATTATTGATTGATCATGCTTCGATCTCAAACGTTTCAATAGATGCATGATCCAGTGAGCACATCATCATATCCACCCACTAATCTATGATATTGGTACACCAGCACTCGGTTTCCGGCGCAAAACTTTCCTCCTCCGAATCGAACGGAATCGAACCCGAAGCCAACTACCAATTACCTGTTTGGAGCTCTACCTCTAAGCTACCGCGGAGACCTACCGTTCAGTCTCTGCCGAGTGGCTGTGTTAAGATCGCAATCAATCAATTCTTCAATGCACCTAATGCGAGTAACTGATCTGATCAGCTGATCAAACGCCACAAAATCAGAGCGAACTGATCTGTACGCGATCACGATAACATAACCGATAATAACAGATAATCAGATAATAATAATTAGTCTCTTCTCAACACACAGCCGTCGTCCTGAACACGAGTTTAAGCATAACAAAACGAATCAACAACTCACCAAATAATCCAACGCTTTAGCGTCCCATTTATGCTCACTTAATGCCGCCTCGAGAACGGCCTCTTTCAATCGATCGAATACCGGATCATGAGCACCCGATCGAGATGCACGTGCGTCCAATGACTGCACCTGCTCACGGAACACCTCCGACAGTGTCTCCCATCCGGTCTGCAATTAAACCACACTGGTTATTTTGTCATAACAGTAAAAATAAAACCATTAACAATCCACTTTATTTCTTAATCCCAACCTGCACGGATTTATTCGCCAACTCCTTATCAGCCCAGTGCTTGAGCTTAATATCGATGAGTGTATTGAATGTACCCGCATTATCAACTGCAGCCGCCGGCATTAAAATTTGATCGAAGACGTGCGCTGCTACCTGAATTATCTCAGAAACATAATTCATAAACTGATCCCACACCAAATCATTTATCACTCCACGAACATAACATTTCAAATCACTCGAATATGGTACCAACTTTAGGAGTGACTGATCGGAATTTGAGAAAACAGCTTAAAACCAACCGCACTCCACAACTTCTTCTTGAGGATGCTTTCCCATTTTTCAGCACCCACCAACGATAAATTCACGATCTCGTCCAGAATCTCCCCCTTGGCCTTATCGAACAACTCATCACGATCCAACTCTCGAATCAGCGGGAATGTGTTCTTCCATTCCGTCTCTAAATTGAAACGTGTCGCACGAAACGCATCTGCCTGAACGAATACGTCATTAAAACATCCAAATAAACGAACAAAACAAAATAACATAAACTTCTAAATTAGAGTTATATAAAAAAATTTAAAAAAACATTTAAAAAACATAAATTTAAAAAAAATATACAAAAACAAAAAACATAAAATAAAAAAATAAATGAAATAAACATACAAAAAACATACAAATAAACATTAAAAAAACAACAATAAATTAAAAAACATTAAAAACATTAAAACATTTAAAAAAACATTAAAAATATAAATTCAAATCAACAAAAAAATTAATGAAGAATTCTTCAAAAAAGAAAAAA